GAGTGTTATAACGAATTTTTACTGTTTATGTACATACCATGGTCAGAAAGACTTAAGTCTTCGAATTCTTTATTAGAACCTGTGTTCAAATCCATCACTAAATTAACCACACAAGAAATTCACATGAAGATTGCAATGACAGATTATAAAAAGAGCTGTCAGCGACAGTTGAGAGTTCTGACTTAGCCCACTTTATCACAGAATCTTAAGCTACTTGGACTTGGTTCATTTTTTCAATGAAAAATGGTGCAAATCATTCAGTATTAAAGTGAACTAGCGTACATTATTGGTAACCTGATGAACTAAGTATTGAATAAGTCAGCACATAAAATTATAACTATTCAAACGGACCTAAGTATGCTCTTAACTAAATTTTAGAAAAAAATAGGCTTGGTTCACTTTCCTTCTGACCCACTCAATTCATTTTCATTAATGTTTCTCTTAAATCATCCCAAAACATTTTGAATAAATAAATTAAAATCTAAGATAAAAAATATATACAAGAGAATACCGTTTTATTTTGATGTAATATTATAAACAAAAATTATGTTGTTTTTAAAAAATAAATCAATTATTCTAAAAAATGAACAACATTTCATTTAATCATTATGTTTATCTAAACATATAGCATTAAGTGTAATATTTACAATGTTGAAAGAAGCCTTCAGTGCCTAATCCTAATATCACCGTTTATGTTTATTTCTTTTTCCAATTGGCGATTATAAATCGCTTATAAAAATGTTTTAAACAAAGAAATCAATCTTGGTTTTCATTTCAGCATTTTTCACGCTGAAACTTGGTACAGTTCAGGTATTCTTAAACTCTGCAATACAAATAAATAAAGAAAATATGTTTATTATATTTATAACTTTGCCTACCTTATATGAATTGTATGAAAGTCGAAGAAAAAGAAGTATGGTTTTGAACTTAACATTACAAACAAAATTATAGCTGCTAAAAAAGAATTTTTTTAAAGTAAAAAAAATATATAACAAATTTAAAATATTTACAGTGACCACTTTAGATGAATTTGATGTTTTATTTTGTACAGATGTTTTAGGATTTGAATAAACTTTCGGTTTATTGGCACTGGTAAAATTGCTCTATAACATAAAAAAAGATATAAATCATAATTTTCAAACTAATTAAAAATTTACCTCTGTTGAAACTGTAAGTTTACTCAACCCACCGCTTTTCTTACCAGCAACATTTCCGGCAACACTTTGTTTTCCATTTCCGGTCGTCGCAGCATCGGTTTTAACACAACTTTGCGTACACCTATCAATATGTGTGGGCCAATGTTTTATTTGACAGGGATAATCGCAATAACTCGTATTCCAGCAACAATAAAATTGAGCTTCTTTCCCACAAACGGAACACCACTGTTTCGATTTGGCGTCCTCGATCCGTTTTTGAGCGTCCAATTCGCACTCTCTCCGTGTTTCATCAACAGCCCTTTGTCGTTCTTCCGTGAAATTTCGATGAACCTCTTTTAAAATCGTTTGAAGATTTTGTTTCATCTCTAATATTTCCATACTATGTTGTTGTTTTAAATTCTCCAATTCGAGTTTTAGGAGAGCTATTTCAGCTTCTACAGTTGAAGAGGAATCAGATGTTGTTGAGAATTCGGATAAGAATTTTATCATAGTTTCACGAAAATAATCTGTTAACTATAGAGTAAGGTTTATATAATGATACATTATTAAAATATATAATTTACCTTATGAGTTGCAGAATTTATTTTCATAGCAATTGGTCCAGTTGAATTTGTAATCCGTTCACAAATCGAAGTATTATTAGTTGTTGGTTTTGCTGTTAACAACGGCGGCGGAGGTCGACTCGTCGTTTCCGTTAGCGCTTTCATCAACTTTTCCGGAATATAACCACTCAAATAATTAAAATCATCAACACCATCATCTTTTTGTGAAACAGCACCGTTATTTGTAGTATTTATCAAAGAGGAATTTGTTGCAGCACTCGAAATAACTTGGGTCGACATATTCGAAGCTGTTGTTGTTGTTAAACTACATAAAGGTGGTGGAATTGAACCAGAAACTGGATTACTATTATTATTATTGATATTACTTGTAGTAGTTGGATTTGAAATCGCTGTTAAAGTTATTTGAGAAGATAACGAAACTTGAGGTCTACATAAAGGTGGTAAAGGTTTCGTTGAAATTGTAACAGGCGAAGATTTATTATTTACATTACTTTTTGAAGGATTTAAAGACGATATCGGTTTTGAAATGATAAAAGTCGGGGTTGTTGATGCTATTAATGATGTTGATGTTGAAGTCGTTGTTAAATTAGTTATCAATGTTGTGGTAGTTATTGAAGAATTTGAAACCGGAAGTGATATCGAACTGACATTTATAGCCGATGTGGGGATAAGATAATTTTGAAATTGCGGGTGTTGCACGAACGATATCGAATTCGCCCCGTATGTTATATTTTGATTCGGTGGTAAAACCAATTGGTTATTTAAAAATGGTTTCGGTTGAGTTAGAATCATCATCCCCCCAGAATCAATTCCGGGTGTTGTTGTTATTTTCGAAGCGCTATTTAGACTTGTAGGGGTTGTTTCGGTTGATTTTTGAGGTTGTTTTGTTTTTAATAAAGATGTTTGTGGAATTTTCATGGGGAGTTTTAATAATGATGTAGGTTTTAATACTTTTTCAGATCCTTTCGTTATTATTTTTTCAATATCATTTTGTTCGATTACTTTTTTAGTAATATTTTCGGTTAACTTTTTAGTAGCATTTTCAACTCCTTTTTTAACTATATTTTCAGCGCCTTTTTTAATTAAATTTTCAGTCATTCGTTTAGGAAAATTTTCATTTCCTTTTTTATTTAAATTTTCAGATCCTCTTTTAACAATATCTTCGTTACATTTTTGAATTTTCGTATCTTTTTCATTATTTAAATTTAAAAAATTCTCCGTTGATTCATTATAGTCATCATCTTCCGATTCAATTTCAGTTTTTATTTGAATTTCCTCATCTTTATCTTTATTTTTTTCAACATCATCTTTATTTCTTTCTTTAATAATCGGTGTTATTGTATGCCCAGGTATATCCAACGGATGTAATTTAGGATTTTTAATTAAATCAACATCAACAAGTTTTAAAAGTTTACTTTCAATGGGCGATGAAAACTCGAGAACATTTTGATTTCTTTTTCTCTTTGGAGTTCCATTTATAACTTTAGATTTCGAAACTTTTCCAATTTGATTCTCCTCAATCGAATACATTTCTTCTAATAAACTATCTTCTTCATCTTCATCATCATCATCACCAAAAGTATCTTGTTTCAAATTAACCATTTCAATTTTATACTTAGGTTTAGCTACTTTTAAAACGTTTTGATATTTCTTTTTCGGCTTTCTCATATTTGTAATAGCTTTAATCTTAATTTGAATCGGATTTATTTTTTCTTCTTTCCTTGTTGTACTAATTTTTTCTTTTTCTTTTATTTCCATTAAATCATTATCGATTGTTCCTAAAATCGTTTCTTTTGGTGCAAAATTTTCTTCTTTTTTATTAATGTCAATTTCTGGTGCAAATTTTTTAATTAATTTATCGCTTATTTTTATCTTTCCAATTTCCTTTTTTTCGTCTTCGCTTTCAATTTCCATTTTAGTTATTGTTTTATCTGAAATATTCGAAATTCTACTTGAATTACTTTGTAAGCTATTTCTTCTTGATCGTTTATTTGAAATTATATCTTCAGAAGAATAAGTTTTTAAAGGTTTTTTTGGCACTCTTTTCGGTGTCATATCTTCTGGAGAAGGCGACTTAATATTTCGACCCTCTTCAATATATTTTCTCACCTCCCAATCTTCTTCATCACTTTGCAACTTATGTTGGGAATTTTCCTCGGCTTTAGTTTCATTTTTGTAGCTGGGGAGAAACATTTCAAGTTGTTCCATATTTTTTTCAGGTTGATACGGCGTTCTATACGGAGGATAATTAAATTTGCCATAAACATTTTTTAAATTATTAATATATGTTTCAACTTCTTTGACGCATTCATTAATTTCATCTTTTTTATGGTGTGTTGCGTTCGGATCTTTTACTGAATATAAATAACAATCTTTTACGGAGACCCAGGCGCGATCATGGGCCCCAAAAAATCGAACGTCCACCGATCCTTGATTATTTGTACACATTACTTTTGCTGGCCAGTACGGGAAGCCTTTTAATTTCGCCCAAACTAAAAGATGCGGTTTTGGGCAAACTTCAACGAACCACGATTTTTTTGTATTTGCATTTAAATAACATGTTGGGCAATTTTCGATTTCAATCATCTCTTGTTTGCAAATTTTTATTATCGATTTAGCCACAGTTGTTAATTTTGATTGGCCTAAAATAACTTAACATTTTGAGTGATTACAAAAAAATTAATAAAAAATTATTTTACTCGAATTGAAAACAATGCTGTTATGTAATAACCATTTTGAATCCGCTTCAAAAGCTTTTGTACTTCCATACGAATTTGACTTAATGTTTTTCTCTAACATTGTAAAATCCATTGGTTGAACGATGTAATTACGATAATCGGGGAATTCGCTTTCATTTACTGGGGAGACGAACGGCTCCGACTAAAAACAGAAAACAATATGATAACGTTAATTTATTTAAAACAATGCAAATATAAAAAAAACTTACATCGTTAATTTGGACCATTCGTTTAAGTGCAAATTTTAATAATTTACATAGATGTCCCAGAGGCATATCTTTTAAAGCTGGCGACCTTAAACGAAAAATATGTTAAAATAAAATTTGAAACAATTCGTTTTTAACATAAAGCAGTCTTTCTCAAAGTGGGCAATAACACCCCCTTGTGAACACTAGAGGCCTACAGGGGGCGGTAAACGACACAGAGAAAATAGAGGGTCCTGAAGCCTATAAAATAATATTTTAAACCTATAAAAACGCGCATATGTCTATTTTTCAAGAAATTTGTGACGGCAAAATTACTATGTCGGAAGCAAAAAGGAAGAGACAGCAATACAATCCGGAATATACCGTATTTTCTCGAATGTAATCCGCACCTTTTTTACAAATTTTATGTGCTCTAAAATCAAATGCGGATTACAATCGGGTGCGGATTAGATTCGCAGTCGTATAGTTGCAATTTGGAAAATAGTAAAATAAAATCACATTATAACAATAACACTTTATTAGGGGTTTTAGAACGATATTTAATTTTTATGTATCATTTTCTTCCCATATTACGTCATCTTCGGATCAATACGGATCAATTCGAATTATACAAAACTTCTTAAATGATGTTATAATATTGTTTTCAGGGATCGATTTCCATGTCGCCTACACTCACTGAATAAGTTCAGAAGCTCCTTTAATTGCTCTCGGTTTTGTTAATTCTCGAGTTTGTTAATATACATATACATACACAGGTTGTAGTATGGATGTTATTCCACCAGGTATTATTATTATGACAAGAAGTCTAAACCAAGGGCAATCAGTCTATGATTAATTAATATCCTTATTTAATAATCCTCCTGGTATAAGACTCCATACTTGTCTTAATCATTCCATCATCAGCTTTTCCATTATCCATTCTTTTTGTTGTGCCCTAACTAGGACGTCATTCAGGAAGTCTTTCAGATTTCAGAATGGTTTTTTTCTGAATATTAATAATGTCGACAATTTTTCCCTATCACTTGTTACTGCTAGCATCAATGTTATGCGCAATTTGTCGGAACCACTCGTTTATAAAGAAATTTCCCACACACCTCTTCTTTCCAGTGTGTAATTAAGTTTGAGACAAATTGAAATTTTCTTGAAAATCATTAGGAGCTTTTGGAAAATTGTAGTTCTGCGCCTCAACGATAACACCATTCGGCGCCTAAACCCACAGTCCAACCTTTGCTGGTATTACAAATGTGTTAGTCCCTCCTTTCGTTTTTCTTGAGAGAACTAGAAAACTGCCTCGTCAATTTTATGAAATCATCTCTTCTTCGGCCCGGTAAATTTTTTGCACGATGCCTCACAGTCTACAATAGCTACCTTGTCTTTCCGCAACAGCCGCAACGTTACTCTCATTAACAGCAAAAATTGTACCAGCTTTTCGATTTCCTTAACGCTAACTTAATAACATCTCTTTAAACTTTGTTGTATAGAAGAACCTTTTAGATTTTTGCTACTTTTTTTTATAATTACGCTATTATATGTATAATTAAGCACACACCACGTTCGAGCTACTACGAGGGCAGTATATGAACGGAATTCGTGCTACGCATTACTATTTATTTTTAAAATTATATTTATTTTCCAATTTTTTCTGGCTTGGTAAATTTAAAGTCTAGTCTAATAAAAACTCGTCGTAAGCAAGGTTTCTTTAGGTACATCAGCGTCAGTCAACAGAAAAAATATATATTTATGGTTAACAACAAGCATCGCATCGTTTTGGTGTTGTCGAATTGCTCAAAGAAAGATGCGGATTACATTCGCAAACTAAATTTTTTTACCACTATGCATTTTTTAAATCGGGGTGCGGATTAGATTCGAGAAAATACGGTATTAAATATGGATTTATAGAAAGTCTCTCTCTGCCTACGTGCCTTGTTTGCAAAAAACGTATTCTGATCAAAAAAATGTGGCCCATTTTTAAGAGCTAAGTCCAAAAACTTTTTTTAGCGGCTTTTAAACAAGTCGATGACGGAATTAGAGCCCCGTACAAAATCTCTTTGTTAATTGCTCAAATAGGAAATCCACACATAACTGGAGAGGAGCTAATTTGACCAGCTGTAAAAGAAGTTATAACCACTGTGCTTCCTAAACCAGCAGCAGATATTAAAAAATTTCGCTAATTTATTTTAGGTTATTTTTGACTAAATTCGAGCCTGATATCAATAAACTTGTTAAAAAACATCAGATTCATCATTGACATTAGATTAGTTTTAAAATTTAAATTGGAATATTTGCTTTAATTTGAATAAAAGTTTCTAAAAGTCTTATTAGAACAGTTCGTTACTAGAATATATTAGTAATATACTAATAATAATTGCAGTGATTTTCTAATTGGAATAAAGTTAAAAATTTAAAGGGGTGCTAAAAAATATTAGATTTTCAAAGTGGGTAGTAGAAGAAATTAGTTTGAGAATCTTTAGCATAAAGCCCCAAAGCAAAAACATTTTATTGATTCCTTCAAAAACTGAAAATCTAACCTCAAATACCTACCTAGTTTTCGTATTTTCAGCTGTTAAGATACTCGTACATTCCGGACAAATCCAATGAGTTGTTGTGGAGATATTCTTAAGACACTTAGAATGGTAAGACCTCGGACAAGTCGTACATGAAATCGTGATCCCATCACGATGGCATTTCCAACAAAAACCATCCTTATTTTTCTACATAAGTTTAAAAATAACATTTTAAAATTTAAAACCGATTTATTCTTACATTTTCTAGTTTTTTTCGTTTATTGACTTACCTCAACAAGTTCCATTGTAGCCTTTAATAACTCCTTATTTTGACCGTCGACAGCGCCACCTATCATTGAATCAGATGAACTATCTCTCTTTCTCTTTTTACCTCCACCTCCTTCTATAAATGACGCGTCGTCATCCTTCTCAAGGATATTGGGGCCTTGCCCTGGCTTCCCTTTAGGTTTATTTACCCCTATTTCAGCGATATGGGAACGCATTAATCGTTTTGATTCAAGCTTTTCCGGTATACTCATGTTTAAATTAGCTTCCTTCGTTAATTGCATCAGCGATTTTAACTCTTTATTTTTAATATTCGACTCGGAATCTCCGTTAGAAGTATCGTTTAAATCTGATTGTTGTGATTCCTTCGGCTCTTCCACATTATCATTTTTAATGTCTGGATCATTAACGGTTATTTCTTTTTGTTCATTAACATTGAGAATAGATTTAGGAGTAATTGGGATTGATTCCGGGAGAGTTGTAACAACGTCAGGCGCTTTTTCTGCTAGAGCATCATCAGGTTGGGTGATATTTCTTTCTTTATCTTCACTCATTGTTTATTGTATTTGTATTAAGTTGAAAAACCGGAAAAGTACATAACCTAAAAAATAAGTACAAATTTGTTTCTAAAATAGTAACAATAACAACGCAATTTGACGTGATTCTTACCTCTTTTAGTTATAAAATTACATGCGCAGCGCAGCTGATTTCGCCAAAAGCCGTTGAAGACGCAAACTCCTATATTTTCTGTCTCTGTGTATGTTGACCTTTCTCTTAAAATTCTATTAAAAAAAAGAAACAACATTATTACTTTATTTAATGAAAATTAATTTATTAAATATTCATTATAACAAGGGGTAAGTAGTTAATAAGTAGTTTCAACTTTTTAATTTACCTTTTTGTAACGATTTCCGTTGTGCTAAAATACCTTGTTGCTCCACTGTTTATAGCGCCATCTATTGAATAGCTTATGGAGGTGTTCTTTGCAACCAATCAAATGAGAGTATTCAAGGTCAACTTAAAGGAAGTGCGGAACCCACTTTGTTATAGTTAGGAAGTTAACCTCTTTTAAATTTTGAATTATAATTAATTTAATTAATTAATTATATTATTAAATTAATTTGTATAATTAATATTATTAATTATACAAAAATTATTTATATTCTGTGAATAATCATAGCCAGCTATGAAATTAAAAAAAAATAAAAACAATTACAAATTGACGTTGCTGTTCAATTCAATATTATGTGATATTATGGACAAGCCGCACATATTGCGTCCAAAACTTTCAGCTGCTATATCTTTGAGTTCTTATGGTAGCTCCACTTCGGGTTCTTCTAGAAAAACAACGACTCAAAAAGCTCGGAGTGTTACATACAGTTCCCACCTGAACGGTTCCCAACAGCTTTACGATGATGATGAAGATTATTATTTAAAATTTAACACAATCGCTGGATGGCAAACATTATTACTTCTTCAATTCCAACCACAAATGTATATCTTGATCCTTTTGTATTTATTCTTATGGTATGGTATGGCGGTGTTTATGGTCGCTTTTGCTCTTGGTTGTCCCATTGAAGAATTACCCCACGATAAGGCGTCCCTTTTTATTGGTAAGAAATAAATCTAAATAAATCAAATCAACTAAAATAATGAATGTTGTTTTAGGTGTTTTATATGCCGGTGATGTGGGATACTTCATTGATTGGATAAGTATGATAATATTTAAAAATGTCAAATGGCCCGATATAAATGTAGTGTATAAACCAAGACATGGTTTTATATTATTTATCGAAATGGTTTCCTTAATTCCGTACGAACCAATTTATGGCATTCTTGTTGAACCGAATATGAGAGTTTATCATTGTTTGCGTTTACGTTACACTTTACGTTTAATCAGATTATTAGTTTACTATAAACATTCGAAAGAATACGTAGGGAATTATTCAGTTGTAATTTATTTGTTAACTTACTTTGGAATTCTCGTTTTGGTGGTCATTACGGCAAGTGGAATTCATTATATAACTTTTTGCGAAGAAAAATGTGGCTATGCTAATATGGATGTTTTAAGCGACGCCATTTATAACGCAGTTGCGATGGTACTTTTCAGTGGAGTAATGGAAACTAAGTTAAAAAGTTCCGATTCGATTTTAAACACTGCTTATGCTTCAATAATATTCTTCTTTTTATCTTTTATTTTTACGAGCTTTTTTGCTTGTGATATCTTGCAAATGTTGTTTCCACGTTTTGCTTTGATTAGAACTTATCAAAGGTATCGCAAACGAATCGATTCTTGGAAAACGCGTATTGAATGGAGCGCTTATTACATAAATTTTCAACGGTTAGTTGATGAATACTTTGAAGTTAGTAAAAGTAAAATAAATGGAATCGTACCAGAACAACGCAATAAAATTCTCCCTCCAATTATCCATAACGATATTATGTTAGATATTTCTTGGGTTGCTTTAAAACATACTCATCTTTTTTCCGGAGCAGAAATATGTTTTTTAAGAGCCATCTCAAAGAAAATGATTTTTAAATTTTTGTGTCCTGGAGAAGTGGTTTATAAAAAAAATAGAATTAAATCAGCTTTCGTTTATGTAATTGCCGGAAATATCGACGTTTTATCTGAAGAAGATGGTGAAACTCCGATAGCAACGTTTACATCGGGGACCTGTTTGGGCGAATCAACTTTAGCTTTAGGTTACTCCTCTGTTAGTACCGTTATCAGTAAAGATATTGCTGATGTTGCGATATTAAAACGAAAAGACTTCGTGCGATTGGCTGCACAATATCCCGATGAAGTGAGAAAAGTAACTTCTGGAATTAAAAGGCGTTATGAAAGGGCGAAAATTTTTCGCCGAATATCCGAATATCAACACGAAAATTCAAGTTATTGTCATGAAAGAATTGGCGTTTTAGCGTTAAAATGGATGAAGTTAACTTTAAGGAAATTATTGTACGACGATAAAACGGAAAGTGAAGATTTAGCTTATTACAGTAAAGAAATGATGTATGAGATGGAGGAGAGAGCTTTTTGTACTCGTTATTTAGATTTATTGGTTCAAAGTGAATTTATGGGGGTTACAACAAACTCAACTTTTGTTACAACGAAATTTCCGGTTATCTTCCGACCAAATTCGCTTTTAATTAAAATTTGGGAATGCAACATTATGTTACACGCTTTATTGTTGTTAATTTTTTATCCGATTGCTCTTATTTTCGTGGAAGAAATCCCTTTTGTTTATGAAATATTTCAATTTTATATCACACTTATTTGGGTTTTAGACGCTTATATTGTATCATCAACTGCTGTTCACGGAAAATTTGTTCAATGTAATACGATTATTGATATTTTTCTTTATAAATTGTCTAAATTATCGTTTTTAATTGATTTATTATCATCCGTACCGTTAGAATGGGTTTTTAGTATTTTAAACGGAAAATTTTCACATTCCGATGCTATAATTTCTTATTCTAATCGATTATTGAAAGCGTATAGGATTGAGATGTTTTTCAGGAACGTTCAAACAACCGCGAAAGGAATCGTTTTGGTTATGTATTTTAAATATTTTTTGTATTTTTGTTTACTTTGTTATTATACAGCTTCGATTTTGTACGTTTTGGGTAGTTTGGAATCGAATTTCGACTTATATAGAGAGTATATTTCTAATTTTTCTCAATCAGGGACTTTCTCAAATATTGAGTCTGCTTATTATAGCTTCATTTTAGCGATATCGTTCCTAAGAGATATTCTTTTATTTAAATTCCCCTTAAATCCGACTTTTATCACATCGATTCCATTAATTATCATTGTTGTTTGTTTTGAAACGTTTTTATTTTTTGTTTTAGGTCACACAATCGCAATTGAAACGATGAGATGTATCGATGAGCACGCCTCAGATGAATTTATGAGAAACGTTGAGATTACAATTGAAGTTTATGAATTAGAAAAGTCTTTAAGGGAACGTATTATGAAATACATTGATTTACATAGAACGGCTTTGGGGAATTCGTTTTTGTTCGAAAGTGATCTTTTTAAAATGATCCCGAAAGATTTATTTATGATTTCGAAAGGGATTTATCCCGGATTTTATATGAAAAATTTGCCTTTTTTTTATCGAATTGATGATCGAGCTTTTCATTTAATAGCAGCTTCCGGATCCGTCGATATCGTAATGCCGAATGAAACTTTTAAACCAAACAATGAAACTTGTTACGAATTTTATATTTTAATGAATGGTTTTTGTGAGATTCGTTATCGAAGTGGGGTGAAGAAAATTGTTGGACCCGGGGAGACTTTTTGCGTTTTAGAGGCAGCTTTCGAAATGAAATCTTTGGTTCGGATAACAACGGTGACTACATGTAGGATTTTATCGATTGATTATTCGGTTTTGAAGGGGATTTTGTTTAAGTTTCCTAAGGATTATAATCATTTAATTGAGACGGTCAAATATTTTCCGTATTGGGACGATTTAGATAGATTGAACCAACAAGAGGCTACGTTTTTATTGGAAAAATCAACTTATAGCTTTGTTAAAGAACCTGGATTGAAATATTATCGTTATTATTTTAGGAGGAGGACTAAATTGTTTTATGAGTATCACTTAGGGTTTCCACATTCCGCCCGATTATTACGATATTTTTTAATGCATGTTTGTTTCTTTTCGAGCGGAAAATTCGTTTTTTATTGGGAACTTTTCCATTGTATTTGTGTTGTGGCTTATATTTTCGTTTTATATATTTCTATAGTGGTCGATGAAAGCCAAACGGTTTACGGTTGGTTTATAGCCCGTGGCGTTTTAGAATTTTTTGGTATTTTCGACATTTATTTACGTCATCATTTTTCTTATTACAACAAAGATAATTTACATATCACCCACCCTTACAAAACCGCTATTTATTACTGGAAACACGCCTTTTTAATTGATTTAATAGCTTGGTTTCCATTTGAATGGATTTTATTTCAAACCGACATTTACTCTATGATGTGGCGTTTAAATCGCCTTTTACAACTATACAGGGTGTTCGCTTTCGTTTCATACATCGTTAAAGGCAAAACTCATTTTCGCGATTTTTGGAAATTATTGTTATATTTGCCTTTAATTATTTTAATCATAAATATAGTTAGTTATGCGGTTTTAAAATCGTTTTGTGTTAGCACCAATCATAGTTACGTTTGCACAAATGGAACTTGGTTATCAAAGATTGACACTAAATCGCCGATTTTAATTTACATGTATAATTTAAATTTCGTGATTGTTGTTTTAACCGGGAGTAATAACGGTATAATAAGTATTAACACGCCAATTGAAATGCACGTATTTTTAGTGTTAACTTTACTCCAATTCTTATTGAACATTATTTTTTCGGCGAAAATCGTCGCGTCGCATTTGGCGATAAACAAAGATCTGTGCAGATATCAAGAGGCGATGCAAAGTTTGATTAAGTTCTTAAATTATTTAAAAATCGATAAAAAATTGAAATGGGAAACGATAAAGCACTTTGAATATATTTGGGAAACGACCAAAGGGAAAAGAATTTTCCAAACATTCTCCGTTTTTAAATCGTACTTCAAAGTCGATGTGCTCTACAATATTTATGCGAAAAACTTGAAGAAATCCTCAATATTTTTACAGCCGAATGAAAATTTTTTCCGGGGATTACTCATTGAAGCAAAACACGAACTTTATTTAAAAACGGGAATTATTTATCAAGTCAATGATATCAGCGGGGATGTTTTTATTTTAATAAAAGGAAAAGTTGAGATTGTTGGTGCTGATTTAAACCGCTTGGAAACGCTATATGTTGGTTCTGTGTTTGGTAACTTAGATAATGTTAAAATGGGGCGAAGAACTTTATCTGCTATAACTTCCGGGCATGTTGAAGTACTTAAAATTGATTCGTTAACTTTGTATAAACATTTATCGAAATTCCCGATTATGCTTAAACATTTTCGAAAGTTAACTCGATTTCACGTTGATTTTATTAAAGAAGAATATTTCGCGCAGGAATTACTAAGTGAGTTTGAAAACGTTTATCGAATTCCAACAGAAAATTTAAAAAAATTATACAAAATCCAACAAAAGGGAACTTGCGATACAAAAATTTTTAAAAATAACATGCTGATTAAAATTTGGAATAGATACGTTATACATATCGTCTATTTATTACATTATATGCTTGAATCGTTTAACATGTCAAGCGTAAATTATTATTCCTTATACCCATTTTTATATTTTTTTGATATTCTACACATTTTCAAGATTTACTTAGAATTACATACAAGTTATGAAGATGAATATGGAAGAAACATTTTTATCCGAAAAATGATTTTTAAACGATATAAAAAAAAGCGTTTGGGATTATATTTTGATTTAGCAACAATTTTTCCTTTGGAATTAATATCCCTAGCATTTATATCCTCGTCTTATTTTGAATTAATTTTACCTTTATCTCGAATAAATCGTTTACCAAGAGTTTTACACACATTCCTATCTTGTAAAAAATCAATGCATAAATTAAACGTAAACGTGATTTACGTTCGTTTTCGATATTTATTTTTATGGGTATTTTTGGCTCTATACAATTTGGCTGTGGTTTTAAAAATGTCCGATCGAGCTCATGATTCCGATGGGATACAAGCAGTACTTTTATTTCGAGAATATCTACACGTAATAATTAATACATGTCGAAATGTGGCCAGTTCAGATTTAAAGTATGAACAGAATATAAAAAGATTATTCGTATTAAATGTGGTGTTATTAGGAACGACTATTATAAGTTACGCTTTTATGGCCGAATGTTGTGCTATCTTATTGTTATTAACTCACACATCATCAAAATATAAACATTTCGTTTTATACACGAAACAATTTATGGAAATTGAAAACATTTCAGCTCCGTTAATAAGAAAAGTTGAAAATTATATGAATTTATTATGGGCCCATCATAAAGGTGTGCTTTTTCCACAATTACTCGAAGATTCACCTTGTTATCTTAAAGAAGGTGTTTTATATTCGATGTTTGGTAACCATTTAATGAAACATCCCGTTTTGAGTTATTGCCATAAAGATTTAACCAGACAAATCTGTTCATACATGAAAACTTTGGTGTTCTTTCCCGGTGATGTTGTGGCGTATGTCGGAGATATTGATAGTTGCATGTATTTTATACAAGAAGGTGAAATTCATGGGTTAATTGAAGATACAATGTACTCTGAAGTTAAAGATATTGTTTTACAAGATGGTGATATGTTCGGATTGATACAAGGATTGTATCCAAGAATTGGACACGAGTACACTTATCGATGTATCAGTTACTCATTTTTAATTGTACTCAATCGAGAAGACTGGATTCATTTACTCGATTTCTTTCCAGCATCAACACGAATGATATTTGAAGCATGTGAAGGTAAGTTAATATACAATTTTTAATTAAACCAAGTTATTATGGTTAATGACATTTTTGACCAAAAAAACATTCGGGTTTAGAGACATGAAGCTAAACCCGAATGTTTCGAGTTCTACATACGTCTAGTTTTAGTGTTAGTTATCATTAAACCTAGAACTAGAAATATTCGGGTTTAGCCGTCTTACTTCTAGTTTTAATTGTTATTTAGCGCTAGATTGTTATCCAGCATCAACACGAATGATATTTGATCCATGCAGTGTTGTTAAATACCCGGGTATTTATTTTCAAGGGTAAATTTCCTGGATATATACCCGGGGGTATTTACCCAAGATGGGTATTTAGAGGTAGTTATAAAATTTAATTAAAATTGAGTTGGTGACAGTCATTCAAACTCATTTATAACATCTGCAAGAATGCTACAATGATAGTAAAATTGCACGAAAGTACTGAAGAGAGTAGAAGTATTAAAGTACTGATTATGAGTAAAACAAGGCGATACAATGGTGAACCTAAATTGTTCATCACAGTCCTGGAGGGTGCATTTAAACAACTGGATTGGTTCCAAAAAGGCATAAACATTGATGGTAAATGCCTAAGTAATTTGTGCTACGCGGACGATAGAGTTCTTATTTCGGATAACCTTGGAGATGAAACTAATGCTGAACAACTTAAAGGAGGTGTGCGCAAGAGTCTGGCGCAAATAAAAATTTATGACAAATCTTGTTCCCAACTTTAACATCAACATTGGGGATAATGAGATTGAGAGGGTTGACAGCTATGTATATCTTGGCCATGAGGTTCGTGTATCGAGAGATAATTGAAGACGCGAGTGGATAAAGGTGTTATGTAACAATTTTGAGAATTTTAGGATTTTTGGCTTTTGAAGTGTTTTATGCAGTAATTTAAACGTCTAAAGATGTTTTGCAGATTAATTCTTACTTTTTTGCAAAATACCGGTTGATAAAGGTGCTATGAGTTTCACAATCTAAATTAAGTTAATGGATAAAGGTGCTATGTGACTTTAACACCTTTATCCATTTTGTTTCCTTCGATAGTGCAGATCAAGTTACCGTGATTTGTTTGTATTTAACTAAATTTTGACAGGTGCTAAATCGTGTAAGTAAAAATAAATTCCACATGCTAATTTATGTTTCAAATGGCTGAATTACGTCCGGTTAATGGTGGTATGCGTTTTCCTCTTTTTGTATGGTTAAGTAACATGAATATTGGGTTCATTTATCTTTAGATTCAGGTATGGGATTTGAGTTCTGTATTGGCCAAGACGAATGTATAAGCACTGATTTAAATAAACATAATATTGCGGTACAAGAGAATAATTCAAGTGATGTGACAATGAAATTCACATTGGCACACCTAAACACACAATGGGAGAAGATACCCCAAATAATTCAGATAGTATCTCGACAGAAAAAAATCAAAAACTAAAAAAGAAAATATTTGAACCTTCAGAAAAGATTGCTAGGAAAAGGAAGAGAGATCCAAGTAAGTGGAAAAGGGAAACGGCAAGGATTGCAAGAGATCGAGGGGAAAAATATATTTCTCAAACGGGAAAAGAAATTGCCGCTAAGAGTTCAAATCTAAAAAATGTACTGTGTACGGATAGTTGCAGATTAAATTGCGATGAGAAGTTTGAAGTCAACTCAAGAGAAAATATATTTAAAAGTTTCTACAAGTTAAATCAGAATTCCAAAAATATTTTACTTTTCAAAAGTATAAAAATTGGCCCAGTTCAGCGCCATAGATCTTCAGCTAAAAATCCAAAACAGTTTTCATTTAAATATTTTATAACTTATAATGCAACACAAACGCAAGTTTGCAAACTTGCTTTTATGTCATTATATCAAATTGGTAGAAAAAAAGTTGCTGTTATTCAGAGAAAGCTGAAATCAGGTGAGGTAGCTCCAAGTCCAGACAGAAGAGGCTGCCATGATAAAAGGCCCCATAAATTGCCAGCTGAAGTTGTTGAATCCATTGTTGACCACATAAAAAGATTTCCTGCCGAACAATCACATTATTCAAGGAATAAAAATATTAATAAGATGTATCTTTCTCCGCTGCTAAATATAGCTAAAATGTACAGGTTGTATATAAACGAATGTCGCACCAAAAAATTTCCAGAAGAGTACATAGTAAAATTATGTTCATATAGCAACATTTTTTCTACAAAATTTAATTTATCTTTTGGACAACCTAAGAGCGACACTTGCAGCACTTGCGACAGCGGTGAAAGCAATGAAGAACATAAAGAGAGGTACAGAAAGGCGTTTGAAGAACAGAAAAAGGATAGGTTAAAAGCTAAAAGCAACAACGAAATTGGTTATCTCACCATGGATCTACAACAAACCATGCCTTTGCCAAGAATAACCACATCTAAGGCTTTCTATCTGAGACAGATGTGGTTTTACAATTTTGGTATACATTTCATATCAAAAGAAGAACAACCTTATTTTTTTACGTGGACTGAAGACGTTGCCAATAGAGGGAGCAGCGAAATTGCGAGCTGTTTGTATTATTTCGCCCAAATGATTAAAGAAAGTAACCCTGAGATTAATCACCTAATAATTTGGTCAGATTCTTGTGCCGGCCAAAACAAAAATTTTAATATCATTGCTTTATATCAGCTCCTAATTTTGAAGGGCATGTTTAGAAAAATTGATCATAAATTCCCAGAGGTTGGACATTTTTATTTGGACTCTGATAGAGATTTCGGAAGAATTGAAAAAACTTTAAAAAAATGTGAACGGGTTTTTGTACCCGATCAGTACATACAGATACATCATAAGAACTTCAAGCACGAAAAATGCACATGTTATGAATATGGAAAACCATTTTAAAAAGTTTGATCAATTGCCTCTAAAACTCGGTTTATATAACAGAAAAAAAAATAAATCGGATAAAAAAATACATTTTAGAGATGGTATCAGGTGGATTAGGGTGGAAAAGTTTGGGGAGTATTCGTACAAGGAATGTCTGGATGAAAATACCGAATTTGAAATTGTCAATTGCTTAAAAAATAAAAAGACTACAGAAATATGTGTTTATCCAGACAGAGTTTCGGAAAAATATGGCAATATTTCTAAAGAAAAGTTACTGAATTTGAAACAACAGTTGCAATTTGTACATGAAGAATACAAATATTATTACGAAAATATTTTACGCGATAATAAAATACTTTAGATGACATCTTTCATTCGTAATAAATTTTAAATTTGTCTCTCATTTAGTGGATAAAAGTGCCATGTACATATTCTTTCTTGTAATTCCTTAACTTATCTTCATTTTGTAAACTTATTATACTGTCATATATTTTGTTGTTGAAATAAATTGAATAATATGAAAAAAGAAATAAATAGTAAAAAGTTCCAAACAAAAAACTTTAAACGCGAATAACTTAAAATTGTTCCCGTGTTACATAGCACCTTCATCCACTCGCGTCTTCAATTAAACAAGCGAACTAAACAGAATGATCACACTCGCATGGTCAGCCTACGGGAAATTTAAAGACATCTTCAAGAGCTATATTCCTATACAGGGTGTCTCAGCGAGACCGGTCATTAGACGTTTCTGGCGAAAATAAAAATTTGAGAATTCAGACTTAAGTATTATCAATTACGATCTCTTCGATGTGAGCATTTTTCAAAAAACCCTAATTATTTCTCAAACTATTAATGTTAGGCATAGCACATATGGAATATAAAAGATGTAAAATGAGACGCCGAAGACGACTAAGTAATAAAATATGGGGGGTACCATTTAAAAAAATGAAGTTATGGTGCTTCCCAATTTCGAAAAGTTAACGTGTCATGGTAAAGTGACCAAACGATCTAGACAGCCGTTATCATGTTGTTTAAGCATGTTCTGAATCCTAAATTGATATCTCAAAAATTGAGTGTTCTATGATTTTTTTAACAAATGTCCGCTGGAGCAGATTTTTCTAGAAAAAATCGAATAACTCGAGAACGGCCGAATCAAATTGCAAAAAGTAAAGTTATTTATAAACCTTGAAAACAGACAAATCCAAATATGTAAAAATATACAGGGTGTTCCATTTAAAAAAATAAAGTTGGTGGCGACTTCCGGTATAACCGGAAGT